TGAATTGTGATTCTGGTGTTGCGATGGGAAACAATGTAACAATGACAGTGTGACAATGACAGTGTAACAAGCAGATCGGAATGTACAAGACCAGGTCCCTCCTGAAACTGGGATGTGGGAGCACCATCTCATGATGCAACATAGTAACTCGTTTTAGGAAGCATTTTTTAAAGCATCACGGAAGTATTTTCATGTTACTGTGAAGAAGCTCTCCACTTGGTTTCGTGTGGTCCTTTTCTTTCTGGGTTGGCTCTGCCTCGGCCTGGGCCTGGGCCTAGTGTGAGGGGTCCTGCCTTAAGTCCTGTCAAGCTCCTGGGCGGCCTCCGCCCAGCTCCTTGTCCTTCACAGAGTCGACTGTGCTGGTCCAGGCTGGCAGGTGACACAGAGGGAGGCCGGGCGGGGCTTCCAGAGCAGTCCTCCAGGCCGAGGAGGGCAGGGCAGGCTCCAGGCTGCCCAGTGCGGCGCAGGAGGCAGTGCGTGCCAGTGGGGAGGGCGGGACACGCTGTTTGATACCACCTTTCACGCCGTCTCCCCCAGCTTCTCTGGCCTTGAAGCTCACTCAGTCTGACCTATTAAAGAAACAGCGGCCTTCTCCCCAGCCTGCCTCCTCTCTCAGCTGGCCTGCCCCTCTGCCCCTCGCAGGAGCAGTCCCCTCCCTGCCGTCTGGCCCCGTGGGCCCACTCTGCTGGCGCTGCTCTCCCTGGACCCAGGGACCCCCGAAGGCTTCTCCGAGGGCCGCTCCCAGCTTCCTCCGGCCCCACTTGAATTTACTGAGCACATATTGACTACACATGTATGTGTACCATGGTCACTCTGCCCCACCCCCCCATGGAGCTCCCAGGCCAGGGGAGGTGCCAGTCACCGAGCAAAGGCAGATTATTAACAGAGCTGGTGGGCGCGGTGGGGAAGACGAACAGGCGAGGCGGTTGGAGAGTGACTGGAGAGCTGCGTGTGGAGGTCTTGTTTCTGCCTGCAGTCCACCCTCCCCTGGCTCCACAACGCTCTGTCCGGCCGCCTGCCCTCCCCGCCTCGGCCCATCCTCTCTCAGGTGGGGTTGACCTTCTCTCCACAGAGGTCCACTACATGGCCCCTCACTCCTTGGAGGCTGTCCCCCACACTTAACTCTCCACACCCTATGCCCACTGCCTCCCATCACCACCTTTATCGATGTTCTGCAGAACCCCAAACCCTGTGGAGAGGAGGCGTGGGGATCCCAAGTGTTCACCCAGCAGCCTCTGGTTTGTCTGATGGAAACCTCCCTCTTTCCCAGAGCTGAGCCTGGACCCCTCTCCTGTTTGGGACCCCCACAGGACCTCATGACCCTGCACGTTTCATCATGATACTGGATACCTCTGTCACTCTCTTGGCTTATTTTGAGTAAACTACTGAAGAAATTCGTTCTGAATTCCAAACCTGCAGAAAGTACGGCATCAATAAGATTAGTGGTGTTCACGACGCACCACCTGGTGATGAGATGGCGGCTCATAATATGAAATGTACCGTCTTAACCACTTGTGTTTTACCGGGTCAGTAGTGGTTAATAGATTCACACTGTTGTGTTATGTGCTCCAAGTTTTTTAAGAGCACTCTGAAATCCTCCAGCCCTAATTTTTTCAAGCTCAATTTAAGTTTCTAAAGTTGTGACTCTACAGTAGAATATAAGAATAGCGTATACATATGTATTATAAAGTATATGTATAGTTTAAGTAGTCATCATGTGTGTCCCAAATTCCCCCCCCCCACCGTGTTAACCACCACCCAGATGCAGGGATAGAAAGTTGTCAATACCTCAGACCAGGCGTTGGCACGCTTTTTCTGTAAAGGACCAGACAGGAAATATTTTTCGCTTTGTGGGCCATAGGGCTTGTCACGACTAGTCACCTCTACCATTGTAGCACCTGATGCTATCACACTTGTTAACTTTTTCCTATCTAGTGGGTGTGCAACAGCGTCTCACTGCAGCTGCAATTAGCATTTGTTGGTTACCGATGAGATTGGGCATCTTTTCATTTGTTCATTCATCTATCAGGTTTCCTGTCCTGTGAAGTGCCTGCTTGAGACTTTTTACAGCTTTCACACTGGGCGGTCTGTCTTTTTCTCGTTGGTCAGTAGGAACTCTTGCTGTGGTTTAGCTACTAATCTTCAATAAGTGACAGGTGATGCAAATATCTTTGCCCAGCTTGTATTCTGTCTGCGCCCTTTTTATATGATATCTTTTTGAAGTAGAAGTTCTTTTTTGTTTTTAATGTGGTCAAAGTTATTAACATTTCCCGGTAGGTCTTATTTAGGAAATCCCGCCTTGGAGTCATGAAGCTATCCTACATTCTCTTCTAGGAGCTACAGTTATGGCGTCGCCTTCCACCTCGGGTCTGGATGTTTCTTGCATCGTGAGGCAGGGTCCAATTCCACTCTTCAGATGGAGACCCATCTGTCCCAGGACCATCCCCTGGGCGGTCCATCCTTCCCCCCCGGCCTGCAGCCTCACCACTGTCCTGATGACGGCCCATGGGTGTGCCTGGGCTCCTCATTCCGTTCCATGGTCAGTTTGTCTGTCCTGGCAGCAGTACTGCATCTTTATAGTCACTGTAACTTAGTAATACATCTTACCTGGCTGGCAGGCAAGTCCCTCCTTCTGGTCCTCCAAGAGTTTCCGAAACAGTTTGTCAAGTTCCACGAAGGAAAAAAAAAAAAAAAAGATGTATTGGGATGTTTGGAGAGAAATGAAATCTTTACTGTGATGTTTTGTAGTGTTTTCCAGCAGAGTTTTAGACTTCTCTGTGTAGAAGCCTTGCAGGCATTTGTAAGACTTATTCCTAGGACTTTCTATTTTTGATGCTATTATAAATGTTATTTTTAAAACTTCATTTTCTGTGTCTGATGTATAAGCATGTGGATGATTTTGCCTATTGATATGGAGTCCACGTTTCTTGCTCAATTCTCTTATTATAATAATTGATGTGTGGATTCTTTGTATTCCATATATGTCATCGAGTAATCTATGAATAATGAATATCTTTCCTATCGTTTTACCCTTTATTCCTTTCTCTGACATAACTGCACTGCCCTCCAGCACAGCGATGAGTAGAGCGCGATAGAGATATTCCTGTCTTGTTCCTGAGCTTAGCGGGAGTGTTTCGCTCTTTCACCAATAAGTAGATTGCGTGCCAAGGACTTGATGGGCGCCCCCGTTGCGCCTCCGTCTCGGTGTTGTAATGAGGGTTGAGTGAGCTGTTACTTGGAAACAGTTTGAGATGCTGCTGAGTGCCGTGTGTTACCTGACCTGCTGGGCGTTGTCCTTTGCTGTGCCTGACAAACCCCAGGCGCCCTTTGCACCCCTCGGGGACATTAAAACGGCCCTACATCGTCTTGTCATGTCCCTCAGCTGGTGTTTCACGTCCCTCATTTCCCCGTCACAGCCAGAGGGCTGACCCTGCATGGCGGCGGTGACCTCAAGCAGCGTGGATTGCAGTCTCATTTCCCAGGCTCCCGTGGGCCTTTGTTTCTAATAGTTTTTGAAGCAAAATTGTGGGCGAGGAGGAGAATCTAGGTCACACACCTGAGACCACTCATTGCCCAGAAACAGGGCCCATCCATACAGGATACTTGTGTTTGCTCTTCTCACCTGTAGGGGGACGGTAAGGGCATCTGGAACCTAGATGCGAAGGTAATTAAGCAGGCTGACGGGGAGGACGCTGTCTTAGATTATTCCGGATAGTGACAATCAAAAACCCTTGATACCACCATAAACACATCTTCTACGTCACTAATCGCCGTCTCCGAATGTTGCAGAACTTTATAGAAACGGATAACGAGGGCAACGGCATTCTCCGACGGCGGGACATGAAGAACGCGCTGTATGGTTTCGATATTCCCCTCACACCGCGAGAATTTGAAAAGCTTTGGACGAGGTGAGCGGTATCTGAAGATTGGCTCTTTTCCTTTCTGATGGCCTTGGGTTTCTTGCTGAAAATTCAGCACCAACCTTCCTTGGGGTAAGATGGAAGCCAAGCATGGTGTTCTCTTGGCTGCACCTGTCCTGTGCCCTGGGCCCTTGTTCCTGGTCACCCTGGAGAGAAGCCTTGGTGAACAGGCCGGTCTTCAGGGACGTGGAGAACCCGGGGCAGCACTGACCACCAGGACTAGACTGGAGGGGGCTCATTACCAAGGAACCGGGAGTTCGAGCCTGGGCTTGCACCAGTTTAGAGAACCAAGTCACTCCCCAAAGGCTTAACTCTAATATCACTCAGCAGGAAAAAAACAGCCTCTCCCCATTGCCCGAAGGTGGAAATCAATGTTGGACAACCATTTTATAGATAAGTAATTTGTTGGAAGAAAATAACCAAACTTTTGACAACTTGGAGTAGCTTCCCGAGGGTCTCTTAAACTGCAAATAATATTGTACGTTGGTTACATTTTGCAAAATGTGTTTTAGACGCGGCTGTGTTTGAATGCGGCCCCAGTTGCAGCGTCCCCCAGGTGGATGGCTGAGGCGGGAGGTGTACTAGCTGTGCGGCCTGCTTCCGTGTTCCAGACCCCTCTTTGAAGTCCCTCCTTCTCCCTATGCGTCAGTCGCCACTTGCATCCCCCAGGAACTGTGTGCTAATAGTGTGCATCCTCTCGGGCACGCTTGCAAAGCAGTTCCTGTCAGTTTTTAGCTTTTCATCTTTTCCAAGTGGAGGGCCGAATGAAATGCTAGCCGAGTTTCGAATTTGGTGGGCTGCTTTGTGTCTAATTTAGAAAAGCAGCTTGAAGCTCTTACAAAGTCCTTGTATTTTTCAGATCCCTCCCAACACTCGCCTCATCCGTTTTCTTTTCCAGTAGATTAAATAAGTTGGTGCGGCCGAGTAGCCAAAAGATTGGGGCACAGCAAGCAAATGCACGGACCCTCTACTACATGGACCTTTTGGGTGATGCAAAGATGACTGGGTGGCCCTGATGCCCGGGGGGCTGCTGGGGGCAGGAAGCATTCACCCCAATACTGGGGTACAGCATCACCTGCGATAAATGCAGAGGGGAGAACAGGTCAGGCGGAAAGGGAGACAAACGCAGGAGCACTGGGGCCGTGGGGGAGTAGGCATCTATCGTGGAAGGAGTGATGTGGAAATAGTTCCAAGGCGTCACGATGCAGAAGGAGGACTGCCTGACCCCCGGGACAGCTGGGGGCTCCCAGAGAGAGCAGGGTGAGCACGCCGATCACCTCACCAGTCCTTGTTTGGGGTCTTATTAACCAGGCATCCAGGAACATGAGAGGGATGGTGATAGGAATCACCTTGCTTTAGGATGCTGAGTCAGGAGGCAGGATGGGGGTGAGCGCGGAGACTGCCGTCCCCATCAGGGTGGGACAGGGCGGCCCCCACGCTGGGAAAGAGACGTAGGAGCCCAGTGTCCCCACAAGGGCGCCTGTGTAGATGAAGTGCGTTCAGCCCTCTTCCTGCAGGCTGATGGAGCAAATTTCCATTTTCATGGGAGGCAGACACTCATGGTTGCTTTTGGCCAAAGTTTCTTCATACCTTTTTTACCTTACTAAATGTCCAGATGTCTCACCTGGGTTAGAAACTGTTTGAGGTCAGAGTTTTATCCACTTTTGTTTAGTTGATCGTACACCATTGAAGGTGAGTGGTTAAGACTGAGGATTCTGCAGCCAGACGCGTGGCCATGGCTCCGGGCTCCACCCCTTAGCTGCGTGGCCTCTTCCAAGTTGCTTACCATCTCTGTGCCTCATCCTGCTCATCTGCAAAGTGGAGCTAATTACCTCTAGTGCCTAGGAATGCTGGGAAGATTGGTTAATTAATGTGTGTAAAGTGCTGGCATCTAGTAACCACTTGCTAAATTGAACAAACCTTCTCCTCATTCCTCCATTCAGCAAATACCTATGAAACACCTGTTTGTGTGGCTCCTTGTTGGGCCGGGGATGATGGAGATGAGTAAATATCGATAATATAACGCTCACCCCTTAAGATATGCACATGGTCTTAGAAGAGAAATACTCAAAAGTCAGGTGCCGTGTCCCTGGGGGATTGACGAAGGCTCCAAAAACTGATGACTTTTAGTTATTTTCAGGTGACTTTTAGGCTGAGTTAGTGTGAGTGTGAGTCAGGGCAGGCTATGCAGTAACTAACAGAACTGGCGTCTCGGGCTTGCCCACATACCAACGTCACAGTCTAGTGTGGGTGTCGGGGCTCTGGTCACAGATCGCTCAGGGGCCAGGAGTCCCACCGTCCCCTGACCTGTTGTGTCCACCAGCAGAGAAGGGAACAGAGCACGGAAGCCAGCTTTGTCAGGACCAGGCCTGGGAACACGGCCGTCCCTTTGCCCACGTTCTGCTGGTCAGAATGCCTTCACGTGGCTGCGCCCGCCTCCAGGGAAGGCCAAGAGAAGCAGTCTAGGTGTGTGTCCCGGAGGAAGGGAAGTGGAGATGGCGGAGCTCGTAATGGCGTCTGCCACACGGGGCATTACCTCCAAGAGGGAAGGAAAGGGGGCGTTTGAGAGAGAGGCTCCAGGAGCATATCCGCCAGCGTCTGAGCAGGAAAGCAGAAACCACTCTAGTATTTACAGCCGAGTGGGGTAAACGCGGTGACTGATTACAGAGGCTTGTGGGAAGGGCCGGAGTCTGAAGAGGAGATGTGGTTTTAGTAGAGGCCCGGAGGCTGGGCTGGAAGAGCAGGGCGGGGAGTTAGTCACCCAGAGATCAGGAAGCTGCCCCCCTCCCCGGAACAGGCGGGCAAATGGGAAACGGTGTTTCTGGGAGATTGGGAGGTTTCATCCACACCTGATGATGTCTCAGAATCTGCTAGAACCTCAGCTGGAGCCATGGCCCCCATAGGAGTTTCCCCTGCGAGCAGCTCTGCCTTCCAACTGGGCAGACCCCGAGGCAAAAGGGCGGGTAGCTCAGGACACGCGCCAAAGGATGCGAGCCGCCCTATGACTGTGCAGCCGAAGGGCAAAGGAGGAGGGTGTCACCTCCTGCTGCAGTGGACTGACCTGAGTGGCAGGGGTACAGGCAGCCTGGGACTGGCCAGGGAGGAGGTGGCGCATCCTCTGAGACACGTCCTGAAAGGCAGGACAAGGCGGGAACCCGGACCCGAGGGCCAGGTGTTCAGCGAGAAAGACGTAGGCAGGCCCACGTTCTAGAAAGATCACTCCAGCCACAGGGAGGAGGGTGACCTGCAGCAGACAGGGTAGGCGGCACGGAGGTGAATCAGGGGCTGTCCCGGTGGTCCAGGAGACAGGAGGGGGTGCACCTTCCTGGGAGCTAGGAGGACTGGGAAGGAAATCTCTCGGTGTGCGAGAGAGTTAGGGCGCGAAATAGCTTTTAGCAGCCTGGAAGGAGAGGCTGCGTGAGGAGGAGGTAGGATGCTCTTGGATTCACCTGAGGACTCGTGCACAGAACTCAGGAAGGCTCCCCAGGTGGCCATGCTCTGAGTAGGACCCATACCCTGTCCCCTGGCGCCCTTAACTGAGCTGTGTGGCCTGGGGCCAGTGACTCACCTTCTCTGGGCTTGATAGTCATCTATCAAATGGGATGATTATGGGGACCAAATGTGTGCAGACAAATCATAGCAAAAAGACCATGTAGGGGGCCAGCCGAGTGGCGCGATGGTTAAGAGCTGGCTTGGGACACCAGAGGGCCCCGGTTCGGATCCCACATATGAGGGCCAGTGACACTGCCCTCCACAGCTGAGATGCTGAACAACAGCTCAACCTGGAGCTGGGCTGCCGTGAGTCGCCGGCGACGGCGTAGGCTGCAGCCCCTGTGGCAGTGGGTTGCCATGGGCTACCGTATGTAGCCAGCAGCCAGCGTGAGCGGCCAGCAGCCGCCGTGAGCGGCCGTCCAGAAGCCGGCGACTGATCTGCCTCGCCCGGGAAGAGCGCAATGATGGTGCCAACTTGGGCCAGTGAAGCAACGTCCTCCACAACTAGACTGAAGAACAAAACGATAGCAACTTGTCTGTTCCCCTTCCCCCGATTCCCCAGCACTGTTCCCATCCCCCCAATTCCCCAATTTAAATAAATAAATAAATAAATAAAGACCATGTAGATTTGAAATTATTTTCTGGTATAATGTTAATAATGCACACTCATTTTAGAAGACTCAGAAAATCCAAAGAAGCATAAAGGCAAAGACACCACCGATGAAGCAGCCCTAGCCCGCTCAGCAGCGATGATAAACAGTGGTAACTTGGTGGTGTGTTTTTCATCCTCTTTCTATGCATCTCAGCGATGTCAGTTTAATCGCCCCCATGACCCTCCTGGCCTGTTCCTCTCAATGTTTGCTGGTAGTGACGTTGGCGTCTCCATTACAGCGCAGGAGGCACCAACGAGAAGGCAGGGACTGGTGCCCGAGGGGTTGTCCAGGCACAGGAGCCTCCTTCCGTTGTCCATACGAGGGACACTCTCCCGTGGGATCCTTTCAGGAGGAATGAATGGGGCCACAGGGAAGGTGGGGGCTGCTGGGGCCAGCGAGACACTCTGCCAGCTCAGGGGGTCTGGGCAGGCCCAAGTCCATTGCCAGAATAGGAAACCCCCAAAATCGGGTAGGTGCAAGCAGGTAGGAAAATAACATTCTGTTCTTTTCAAAACGTGAAATTAGAAAATCAGGCAGAATATAAACAAGCAAAACACTTCCAACATCCATTATCCACTCGCCGTTTATTAAGCACCTGAGAAGTGCACTGTTTAGAGCTTTGGCTTAGTCTGGAGGGGAGTTTGCCGTGGACATAAATCAATGGCTTAACGCCCGGGTCTCAGTGGCTCAGCACATTAGTGTTTTGTTTCTCATTCGCCCAAAGTCTGCTGCATCGCTGATGGCTCTTCTGGACAATTTGGACAATTCTCTTGTGAGTGGAGTAGCAATTGGGGATCTCAGCAGGGGGCCCCCAGTAAGGGGGGGTGGGGCATGTCCAGGGCAGCAGGGTCACACACGGCTCTGGCGGGTTTCAGTCCGGAAGTGACACACTTCTTCCTGAGACCCATTGCCCAGGGCTGGTCAGTGGCCCGGCTGACTGCACAGGGCAGGACAGCGTGGCGAGCGCGTGGGTGTTAAGTGAGCTGTCAGGGTCACAGGCCTGCTGGCTCACAGAGGATTCAAGGAACCACGTGTGCAAGGCTGAAGGAGGCCCCTGTGAGAGGAAGCCTGCTGCCGGAAGCCAGGCCAGCACCGTGAAGACCGAGCTTGCAGGATGATATGTTTGGTCTGGTTCTGGAGAGACCTCTAGGAATAAATTACAGGACGGAAGTGCATTCATTCATTCATTCATTCACTCACTCATCAGAGCAGTCATTAAGCAGGAGTTTTGGGGGGAAACTTTCCAGGCTGCAGGTCCTGTGCTGGGTTCTCTGGTTCCAGAGAGGAAAGCAGCCTCCCTCTCCCCCTCGTTCACAGCTCAGCAGCGGAGACAAACATGCAAACATGGTGACAGCAGCAGCATGCCAGGAGGGGAGAGTGTGGGTGGCCGTGGCTGTGGGAGCCATATGGGTGTTGGGGGAGGGACCCCCAGCAGATGTGATGCCTGAGTTAAGTCTTAATAAGCAGTCATTAGCCGGAGGTGGGGGAGGGGCCTGCCCGTGAGCACAGAGGCCCAGGGATGGAAGAGGAAAACACGGCTCCTGTCAGCAGAGCTGAGACCCGGAGCCGTGGGGCACAGGGACCGCCAGGACCAGGTGTCCCACAGGCCCGCCGCCCACAGCCCCTTAGGGCCCCAGCGTTCTGTGCACCTTCCGGAGCCTGGTTCCATCAGCTGGACTCAGCGCTCTTGGATCTAAAACAAACTGCCAAATAACGATGAAGGCGGCGTATCATAAAACAGCACGGAAGCGGCAACCTCAAAAGCATCAGTTTTGATTATTAGTTGTGAAAACCAGCTAATCAAGTGGACCTGCTGGAAAGTTATGGAGAATAATACCCGATCTATGTGCACTCCTTGATGTGGCAGGTGTGTTGTCTATTAGTATTCCAGTATAAAAAGAAAAGGCTATAAAAAGTCCCCACGTCACGTGCATCAGCTCATGTGAGGAAGACTTAGGACATGAACAAGAAGCTAGGTCGTCTCTGTCGGCTCAACCATGGCAGTGCCTAGAGAGACCTACTGGGTGCCGGGCTCGAGGAACCTGGTTAGGGACACCTGAGCCTCAGGATGGAACAGGATTTGGAAGGGTTGAATGAAAAGGGTCTGGCTTAGAAGACAGAAGACTGAGTGGGAAGTGACAGAAGACAATACAAAGGAGGCTTCCGCTTAGAGACGGCTCTTAGCTCAGCACCGAGATCGCATTGGTGACTGCTGCTGCCTGGAACTCCAGTGGGCAGCCTTTGAAGAGTGGGTGTCCTGTCTGGCGTGGCTTTATCCAAGGTCAGACTGCTGTCTACTGCGGAGCTTCGGGAAGGGATGGTGGCCTGGGTGGGGACTGGGGCCAATGGTGTCTAACCTTCTGTGACGACACCAGGGCTGGCTGGCTGTGCCCGCTGGGCATGGCCACCTCCAGCGCTTGGACACTGCGTTCTGAAGGGCAGCTGCGTGAGCCATCAGCCCACCCTCAGAGAAGTCCTCATGGCCCAGGCTGCACGAGGTGCCATGTCTACCTCGGCTGCAGGCCTGGGCCATCGGTACGGCTACACCAGACCCCCTGACCCTGGGGTCAGCAGTGTTGGAAGGTACTTCCGTCCCTGCTGCAAGAATCAAGTGCTTAAACTGAGCCCGAGGGCTAAGACTTCCTCAGCAACACAGTCGGCATGATCATGTTCACACCATGTGGACCAACTGTGTCGCTGTGTGTGCAATAATGGGCAGAGTCACCAATGATATCAAATTAGTGGCCATCGCCATATGCGAATGCAAATTTTTATGGGTCCTCCGTTATGTGCACTTTTTTCCGGGCGCATCTGTTGCCGAACCATTTTAAAATTCAACTTTCCAGGCAAGTTAATTTTTTTAAATGTTGCACAAAGGATTATACGATGCAGGGTGAGGTTATGTAAGCTGATTTAACTCTCCTATTATTCATATTCATAACAATATTTTAGTTGCAATGGTGCAATCTGGTCTCCTGTTCCTTTGCAATGAGAATAGAATGTTTGTGATCCGTATTAATGAAGTCATTAAGAAGTGTCTTTTCATTCAGTTCAAGTGTCATGATTTCGAGTGTGTTGTTGGCATCTCTTGAGCATAACACACCAGGATGGCGGTCCCCCCCTTAGGGACATGCATCCTTCACATTCACAAGCTCAACAGGCATGTACCTGGTAGCGCAGCTTTGCAGGGCGTGTCACTGGGCACGGTGAGTTTGTTCAGAATGATAAGGCGTAGTTTCTCTTCAGGAAACCTGCCATCAGTCAGGGAGAGCGGTCCCATGGACAGGAGCTGGCGGCAGGGGCAGGATGCACCTGACTGTTGACGGGGCGCACAGCAGCAGCGAACCCCAGCATGCGCTCCCTGTGCACCAGGCCCTAGGCACGGCCCCTCATGCACTCACCCCTCGGAGTGCCCCACGCCCTGCAGAGTCCAGAGGGAGATGGAAATACAGTACTTTGGACTGAGAAGGAGAGGGACGTTCTGAAAGGCTGCCCAGGGGTTGCTTGTCAGGTGAGGGTCTGTGCACCATTGTTTCAGGAACCCTCCTGTAGGAATGGGGAGCCCTTGGGTTTATTTGGGGGTGTCTTGGTCAGAGTTGTATGACCATCTCAGCCTGGTGGCCCAAGGCTAGCACAGGCCTTGTGTAGTTCAGAGAGAGATGCATGGCCCTGGGGTCACCCTAGAAGTTGGAGAGATGTCAGCCCTCCCCTTCCTGGGTACACTGACGGAAAGCCGGACTCCCTTTCTGCAGCAATCACCTCCCCGCTAGCAGTGGGGAGAGCCATTTGCTGGAGCACTGGCCCTTTGCGCTAGAAGTTATGACTCTGCTGTAGCCCCAGCGTTCGGAGACTCCACAGGCCCCCCTTTGTGAGTGTGTCGCTTTGTTCCGTTTTAGAAACAAAATTCACTGAATAAAGAGAGAATGGTCCTTTTGCAGGGGGAGGGGCGGGGGGGGCGCGGTGCGCGTGCTAAGGTCGTGCTAATAACAGGCACCTGGAAAGGCCTTCGAGGGTTCCCTAAATGACAGCAACAGCAGTGCGGGGCGCTGAGCTTAGGCATGGGGTCTCGGAATGCGGTCGGTGGTCACAGATGAGGAAACCCAGCCCCAGAGTGGGGCAGGGCCTGGCCAGGGTCTGGAGGCCGCGAGCTGGTGTTGGACTGAATTCTGTGCGCCTCTCAGTGACCGAGGGGCGTCCGCTTACCGTCTAAGTGGAGTCCATGATAAGGTAGGCCCGGATGCTGCTCAGGGGGGTGGGAGTCCCAGGGCGGGGAAGCTGCAGGCCTGTGGGCCGGCACCGGAGGAAAGCAGTGGGAGAGGGAGAGGCCTCGGGCTCTGCAGGCCCCTTGGGGGAAAGGCCGCTGGGCCTTGGGGAAGGGTGGAGGGGTCCCACTCCTGGGAGCCCTGGCAGGTTTTCGCACAAGGGCATGAAATGTTTGCCCAGATTTTTTACCCCTTCATTCGTCCTCTACCACCACCCCTCCCCTTAAGGACAGGAAAGTCAGTCAGGTAAATAGATAGGTTTCCTTCCTTGTTACTCAAAGGCCCAGTGTGTCCCAGGGGACTGTGGGTGCTGCAGACCCTGTTTGCTCCACCAAGGAAAGCCGCCCGCTCATGCTCAGACACCTGTCCACACAGCCGCCTGTGGGACACTCACGCCCGCACCGCCCTTTAAATATAGTCTGGGTCCTTGGAACTGAGTTCACCTGGGAAAATCCACATCCACACACACCATTTTCATCGATTAGATGAACACCAGGATCTTTCTGTAAAAATTAATGCTTTTTTCCTTTAGAGAAAATTGGCAATATGCCTAAACATTTTTTTATTGAAGTATAATTCTGTTCTACTTGAATAACGTTGGGAGATAAAAACCCTCCATTATGCCTTTTTTTAATATTGAATTATAATTCAGAAAAATCTCAATAATAGAAAATGACATAAAAGGTACATAGCTTAATTCTTATCTCGTTTTCCTGACTAGCCTCTCTCGTTGGTTGTGTGTAATTGGCATCTCTTCAAAGAGAAATTTGAATTAAATGGCGTTCATTTATTTATTCGAGTTTTAAGATTGAACATGCTTTTTGAAGGATTTTCTTCTAAACCTTAATAGTTCCTTTACATGTAGGTGATCAATAAAAAAAACTATTGAATGCATGAAAGGGTTGATTTAAATTTTCTTTGGTCACGACTGTGTTTCTATCAGAATGCCAGGTGAGCGAATTTGGTTGCCGGCTCTGGGGTGGGCTGAGACCACCTTACATGATCTGGGCGGTGGGTTTCCAACTTCAACGAGCCATGAACCGCCTGGGGACCTTGTGAAATGCAGACTCAGATCAGGTCTGGGCTGAGGCCCGAGGCTGTGCACCTGTGACGCCCAGGTGAGCCGGGGCCGCTGGTCTGTAGAGCACGCTGCATGGTGAAGAGCTAGGGGACCTCCTCCCGGGTCTTGTCACAGCCCCGAGCACCGACACACCTGGCAGCTACTGAGGAGAGTTTTGTCTGTCTTTAAAGGTATGACACCAAGGGAAGAGGACACATAACTTACCAAGAATTTTTACAGAAGCTGGGGATTCACTACTCAGTGGACGTGCATCGGCCCAATGCAGAGGATTATTTCAACTTCATGGGTCACTTCACAAAGCCACAGCAGGTCCAAGCGGAGATCAGAGAGCTACAGCGGGCTGCAGAGAAGGCTGTGCCCATCAGGTGAGCTGGCACACACTCTGGGGCCAGGAGCTGGCCGTGGGTTCCACATCACCCTCGTAGCGAACGTTGTTTTGAAGCAGTACCTCCCGGTGCTGGCGACGTCATCACGATATTGTAAGACTTGCTCACTGCTGTAGATTCTCGAAATCGGTGCTAAGTGACAGAGCTATACAGGAGCTCGAGAGTTATAAGCCTACCCTGGTCACACACAGCCTCATATCATTCATAGGTCGCCCTTCATAATTATCTCTCTTAGGGCTCTACTGCATATTGCCGGCCCATCTCTGGCCCAACCAGAATGGAGTTCCATAACGATGTGGCCGTCTGTACCCAGTGCCTGACGCCCGATAGGCACCCAGTGGAGATTTGTTGGACAGATGGACAGATGACGGGTGGGTAGATGGATGAACAGACATATTCTTTAACTCAGTGCTTCTACTTTGGGAACTTTATCCCAAAGACATAATAATGCAGAAGAGACATCACTGTAGCAGTGGGAAGGCCTGACTTGTTGTGAGTCCTCAACAAAAGGACCCCCGCCAGTCCCGTGGCTGCACTGGCTTGTAAAGTGTGTCCCCGGAGAACATGAAACAGCATATGTCTCCTACAAGCTCCATCAGGAGACTGTGGGACGTGTTTGTGATGAAAGGCTGATTGGCAATGACATTTAAACCGTCTGTATTCCATGGTTGGAACCATGTCCGTCGTGTGTGCCTGTCCACAAGGACCAGAAGATGCTGTGCAAAGGGCGACATGTTGTATTTGGAGGGTGGGACTGTGCATGATTATTTTCAAAGTTTAAAACTAGCTGCCAATGTCATATTTTAAAAATGTATAGCCTAGGAGAGAATTTTGCCACATTTGATGTGACCATAAAGCAATAGGACAGATTTTCTTGATCAGTTTTAGTCCTTGGTGGTCGCCCATCAGCTCTGCCCAGGATTGGGCCTCTGATCTCAGCTCCACAGCTCTGCCTTAGCTCCTCATGGCTCTTAACTGTGTGTCTGTCTGTCGCCTGTCTGTCACATCAGCTCTCTGTCCCCACCACCTCAAATGAGTGAATGACTTGCTAGAGAAGCCCCCCCAAAGGAAGTAAGAACCCCAAGGACAGGGGGATGAAATGTCATGGCTAAAATGCCCCTGAATTATGTATTAAGTTACTGAGTTATAAAGAGAATTGAGTTTGTGAATTTTAAAGTAAAAATATGCATAAGATTGGTATAAATCAAACATGCCATAAAACTAATGAAAAAAATGGAATCTGTCTTTATCAGACAGGGCTGGCCTCATTACCCACGCGTGTCTTCGCTTCCCGTCTCTCCTGCCACGTGTGAGTAATGAGGCTCTGAGAAGAGGCTGCCGTCCTTGGCACCCGTACGGCACATTCTTTCTCTTCTGTGTTGCTACTTATCGTCTGAGCGTGGATCTGTAGCTGAGAGGACTACGTGCCACTACACAGTGCGTTTCCGATCACCAAGCTCACACTCACGCCGTCCTCTCTGCCACAATCTCACTCTCTTATTAAGCACAAGCCTGATTTCGTACAAATGTAGGATTGACTTCTGTTTTCTCAAAGATGTCAGATTGTAGAATGGCCAAGTAACTTTGTCCTTCGAGATGGCCCGCTTTTAAACTTTGGTGTCAGAGGATCTTCCAGATAATCTGTAAGATTCAGTGTTGCCAGGACTTTTAACCTCCTGATTTCTACAGAAACTCTGACACGATTGATAGATAGATGGGAGTCATGTTCTATGAAAGTGACCCAAAATGGTATATTTTTGCCTCTTAAACCTAAGGGAATTGATTTTGGTTTTGGTGTGCCCTAAATATATTTTTTAAATGAAGAAAATCTTTTCTCTTAAACTTATTTTCCATGCCTTGCCCCTTTTTGCCCGAGTCTGAGTTGAAGATTTCAGAATCAGTGCAGCCATAGGAAACAAGCCACGTAAGCGCGGCCTGTTCCGAAATGCAGACTGAGAGGCAGAGGCGTGAAACCCGCAGTCCCTGCGGTGCCAGCAGGCCAGGCTGTGTGTGGCAGGGGCCTGTGGCCGTCCCTCCGGCCTTGCCAGGGGCCTCTTCAGGCTTCTGTCTCATTGTCCAAACCAGGAACGGGACAGGGACCCAGAGCAGCAGCCGCTCGTCCCTGAGCGCCGGCTGACACCCCTCCGTCTGGCAGTGTGGCGGGATTCCTCTGTGCGCACATTTACTCTGCAAGGGAAGTAGTTAGGGCCCAGGAGCCAGCCCCACAAATGCCAAGTGCCTCGATGTTCCAATCACCTGCATCTCCAGAAAGGTTTTGATTCTTTCTACCTTCATGTATGGCCCTTGTTTTGAAGGACTAAGTGGAATATAATAGTGGCGATGACGAGTAACCATTTTGTGACATGGGACTGCATTCAGTGTACACCTGTGAGGGGAGCCAGAACGTCACTGCTGCTGGCATCCATTCAGGGACAGTCAGTGCCACTCGTGTCAGCCAGCCCCCCGCTGGACGGAGCAGGGAGGGCGCAGGTGACCATGTAGCTTCAAGGCGTCGCCTCCTGGACCCTCCCTGAATAGTCCCGCTCAGCGTCTCCTGTTCTGGATTTCTGACTTTTTTCCGCCTACAGACCATCGTTTTTCCAGGCATGCTCAAGAAACTGTCCTCTCCACAAAAATGTAATCTGAGGTGGCAGACCATTACCAGCAGGCTCCATGTTCACAGTTTCTAGCATATGCTTTTCCGTGAGTAGGAACCCCACAGGCAGCCCGTCAGACAAGCACATTGGTCAGTGCGATAGGAAGAGGTTTTTCAGAGATGGGGGTCACTCAAGGTTATGGCATGTATAATCAGTCCACCACAGGTCAAGTGCAAGACTCTCCGTTCTGAAAGATGTCCACATTCCTTTAGTACCTTAACAGTAATTATTTTGTCAAGGAAGACTTTTCCTGAAAAAAGGAATCGTAGAAACTTGAGCACGTTCTGCAAGAAAATCAGCCCTCAAGCGGGAGCTGAGGGAACACTGTGACCCTGCGAGGGCAAGGCCTGGGTCCCCTCCCCCAACCCCCCTGCAGCATTGACAGGACTGAGCCCCTCCACCCTCCTCACGCACACCTGCATTTCTGCCTTCTGGCCTTAGCACTGGCTGTCCCAGGCCCCCAGGAGAGCTCTTCCAGGGTGGCACCCGCTGACTCCCTTACCTCCCAGTCGTGCCCACCTGTCACCTTCCTAGCGACACCCCCTGCTCCTCCCTGCTGGAATTGCAGCCTCCCTCCACAGTGGGCGCCCAGTCCCGTTCACTGGCTCTCTACTAACCCACTAACCCCCTGGGCAGGGCACTGATGCCTTCTGTTTAGGGTCAGCCTGTGGGAATGTAACTTCTAGTGGGGCCAGCTTGACTCACTAGATGGACACCGAGAGTGGCCCCAGGCCCATAACAGATGCTCTGTGAGTCTTCTTAGAGAGAATGAAGGTGTGTTTGCCACATGTCTGTAATATCACTGCATTTTTTTTTCTTTCTTCGTCCCATTCTTAAAATGCCAATTCTAGTAAAAAGACAAGGTTGTAATTTCTCTAACATAGTTTTGTTAATAATAATAATCATAAAATTATAATGATACAGACTTATAATTTTTTCCCCCAGAATACCTTTTCATGTGACTATTGCACCAAGGCTGCAAAACATCTTCAGTATCAGTGTTTAGATGAGCTATCAAATCACCACATCAGAATCACCATCAAGCTCCTGTTTTCCTGATTTAAGTGTGTGTCTGAAACCTATTTCCTTTCAGGGATAAGCTTAAGGACCGTTATCAAGATATCAGCCAAGCGCTCACCAAACTGGATAAATCCAAAAATGGCTCCATCTCCATACGCACAATGCAGAGAGCGCTGCAGGAGTGTGGCTGTCCTCTCAGGGAGCAGGAGCTGACGGAGCTGCTGGACAGGTTTGCTTTGACGAGTTGACTGTGTTTCTCAGTCCTCAACATGAGTCGATGCATTGCTTTCATTTTTTTCTTCTCTGTCCACTCAAACAGCCTTTCGACGTCCAAATAACCTCCCCATCTCCCTTTGCCCAGGCTGCGTTATAATGGGTTTGAGCCAACCCAGAGCATAAAGAGAAAGCAACTTGACGACTGCGTGACTTTTCCTGGTGTGTCTCAGCAGCATAATCATCCCTTTTAATTTTCGTTTTCATTTCGCCCAAGTAATTCATACACTTTGGCAGGAGTCAAACAGCCCAACAAGGCTTATTAAAAACAGCCCCTGTGCCCTGCCTTTCTCCTCTCTTCCCTTCCCCAGAGTCAACAACTTCCACCTTTAACTGATATCTTTGGGTCCTTAATTTTGTGTTCCAAAGTGACAAGTTACAGAGCTGCTTCTTGAATTTTTTACTGTTAGGCTCTGTCTGTTGACTTCCTACCAGGAAGATGCAGATTTAACTCTTTTTCACCCAACACATACCATCACTCCCACCCCTTCAAGCCTCCACCACCCCATGGAAACACACACAAACATCTCCGCAGACTCCCCACATCACTGCATCTCAATTTGGGGTAAATCAGTATTCAGGGTTTATATTATTGTGAGTAGGTGATCACTTTCCCTTTCCTATATAGTATTTTGTTTGCCCTGTAGTTAATATTTATCTTATTTTTCTGTTTGCTTAGTTTCCATGTAATTATTTTCACAAATTAAACCCCTAACTCACCCCCACTAGTAAATTTCCTTCTAGTGGTTTTAGAGTTTGCAATATACACTTACAACTAGCTGAAGCCCAGTTTCAGGTATCACAGTGTCACTTCATGGGTGGTACTGGGTCTCAGAACAGAGTGCTCCATATCTTTTCTCCCGTCTGTGGTAGCACTGCTGTCATTCACTGCACTTATCCACATGCTATAGTCACCCGAGACACTGCTGGTATTAACGTTGAACAAACAATTATCCATTAGATCAGCTAAGAGTTAGAAAACTACAAGATGTTATTTTACCTTCATTAATCCCTTCTCTGATGCTCTTCCTTTCTTTGTGTGAATCCAAGTTTCTGATCTATATGACTTTCCTTGTCTCTGAAGAATGTCTTTTAATATTTCTTGCAGGGCAGGGCAGCCGATGACAAATCCCTTCAGTTTTTGTGTGTCTGAGATAGTCTTTAGTTCTCCTTCACTTCTAAGGATAATTTTACTGGATATAGAATTCTTGGTTGGTGATTTTTTTTTCCATTCAACACTTTAAATATTTTAGTCCACTCTTTCCTTGCTTGCATGAATTCTGATGAGAAGTACCATACAATTCTTATGTTTGTACCTCTGTAGATAAGGTCCCTCCTACTTCTGGCTTCTTTCAAGATTTTTTCTTTGTCTTCAGCTTTCTACAGTGTGAATATGATATGCTTAAGTGTTGACTTTTTTACTTATCCTGCTTGGTGTTCTCTGAGCTTCCCAAATCTGTGCTTTGTGGCTACCGTGAATTTTGGAAAATTCTTGGTCATTATTACTTCAATTTTTTTGCCCCCTTTCTCTTTTTTTCTCCTTCTGGTGTTCCAATTATGCAGATATTACACTTTTTTTAAATGTCCCACAGTTTCTAGATATTCTGTTTGTTTATTTATTTTCCATTTATTTTTCTCTTTGCATTTCAGTTGGGGAAGTTTTTTTTGGCATACTTCAAGCTCACTGTTTCTGTTTTTGTTTTCCTTTACCATGTCCAGCCTGCTGATGAGTCCGTCAGAGGCATTCTTCAATGTTGTTACACTTCTTTTTATTGCCAGCATTTCCTTT